CTTGGAGAATGGAAGTGTCATCCCTTCCATTCTCCAACCCAAACTCCTGTACATGTAGGAAGATATCCATGGCGGCGCTTGAATGCGTTCATAGTCTCTTAAACATGATGATATGGTGGTGTAGTCGTGGTGGAGGGGGAGTTACAAACGGGGCCCAGCCCAGCGTGCAGTCAGCGTGGGTCATCAGCTCTACCCGCACCACCCCATACCTGGAACAGGTAGGCGATGATGTCATCACTCTCGTACATTTGCTTCCCGCTGTTGGGGTCCACGAGGAACGGGAACTGCCGCTTACCGCCAAGCGAGATGGCCTGAGGGGCAGGGACACGGGAAGGCGGAACGAGGAGGAGGACGATGAAACGGGATTAGAAAAAAACAGTCGGCGGATCAAACATGACCCGTGATAACTGGGGACCTGCGCAGGCTGGACTGGGGAAAGGGAGACGGAGGGTTTGCTGCCTGGAAAGAGCCTTTTATGCCATCGCAGTAGCCCCGATGGGGACTGTAGACTAGTAACGCAAGTGCACAGCGGAGATGGTGAGGAGGAGGAGGAGGAAGCGGGAAGGGCCCACCCGGACCGGAACCAACCTACCCTATCCAGCCATCGCCACACATTAACCACACTGTTCCATACCGCAGGCGGACTGCACAGCGGTTCCTACAGCGCCCTCCCCCCTGCGCCCTCCTCGCCTCTTCCCACCTTGGGTCTCCAAGTGGCTCCATCCTTGGGGCAGGGGTACACCAGGACATCAAGGTCCAGGATGCAAATGGCCTCCCGCACCTGCCCATGAACAGATGAAGGCCAGCCGGGGGAAGGCATGCACGCCGGATATGGGCCCGAGCCCCGCCGGACGTGGGGTGGACGATGTCGCGCACCATGTAAATGGCCGAATGATGGGCCGGCCGGGTGGCGGCAGGCGAGAGTATCGTGGCCGGCATAGCCATAGGAATTTAAAGGGGAGGGGAAAGCAGGAAAGCACATCATCCAATTTGCAAGGCGGTGACGGCCATTCTAGCCCCACCCGACAACCACACACCATATAAACGAACAGACACATACACACAACCACGCGCGCGCGCGTAGCCCTACAGCCGTCACTGCTCCCCCAAGCCGCGGTCCGGTTCCTGGACCAGGTTCGCACCCAAATCTGTATCCGCCGCACCGACCTTTTTGCAGAAGGGGCAGCCCTCGAACTCGTAGAGCTCCAGGGGCTCGGCAGGCCGCCGCAGATTGGCCACCTGCGAGGTGAGGTAAGGTGGAGAGCAGGTTTGTGCCGCCAGCACTCACCCACGCACCCGCGCACGCAGCAGCGGCAACGGTACCCAAGGGCAGTGGCATCCATCGCAGCATCCGCCGCCAACGAATGCTCTTTTTTTCATTTCAGTAAACGTCCATAAAGGACAGGGATCGTAAAGGCCCGCTCGCCCGTCATCTGTCCGCCGCCTTCACTCCTAGGGTTCCCGAGCCCTGCCCCACGACCGAAGTCCTTCGATGTCCTCCCTCATCCGTATCACACATACATATATTGCTGCACATAACCACATTTCCTCACCTGCGACGACTCCGCGACCTTGCGCCCGCCCACCCTCGCTACCGCATACTTCCCATCGTCCTCTGTCAGGCCAACTTGATAGCCCAGGCTTAAGCCGCCACTGCCCAGACGAAGCAGCGCGGGGAGGGAGGCTGTGGCTATCTGGGGAACATTGCAGGTGGAGGCGGTGAAGGGGTCAAGGGGAGAGACAAGAGGAAGTGCGAGACTCGGGAGGTGAATGGGAGGGGGAAGGTGAAGGGGAAAACTGATCTTGTCGCCTCACCTCCATAAGTTGCCCGTCTGCGACGGTAAAGCGCTTCGGCTCGGGCCCGGCATTACGAAGCTCTGTCTTGGCAGGCACGGCGGCCTGCAAGCACGGTGTTGTCTGGGAGATGAGGAGGAGCTAGGGGCTGCGTGCAAAGCAACCGCAAGCAGGAAAGATTGATTTTCAGACGTCCCTAACCCTTGGCCCTTTTGTGTAGATGCAGCTCATGCGCGACATGAGCACCGACGGGTCGCGATGAGCTGAAACGTGTAAGCAGCGCTACGGAAAATCCATCCCATGGGTGTTCAACACGGACCAGCAGGCACCGATTTACCTCAGAAGGCGCTCCAGTGGACACCGAGCCTTCGGAAGATGCCCTAACGACACATGTGCGCCTTAACGCAACCCGCTGATGGCAGGAGGAGGTGGCCGCAAATGAGCGCTGCGTAAGTGTGCGCATTCTTTGTGTATGAGTGTTATTACTACAACAGATACAAAACTGCGAATAACGCAGCTGAAACTGTGGCTGCCCTAAAAGGCGATCTTCGCGTCCACAGAAATTCGTATTATGAAAGCATCTGTCGAGGATCGCCTATTCAGAGGGCATTGCTCGATGGACAACAGTCCCGTTAGGGCAAGAATAAGTGTACCCATAGAGCTTCCGGAATGCAACTAAGGAGCCCTGTTCTGCAAATTCCAGACGCTTAGCGCCCCTGACGCAACCTTGCTGCTTGTCGCTTCCGTAGTGTGAACACATACTCTCAATAGGAAAATAGATATGTCGACACAGCAAGAACAGCTAACGCGGTTGCAGTCTCTGCTCTCACAACTTTCTGCCCCACCAACCACGACAGCCATACTGTACCCTGGACCGGAAAGATACTCCATAATAATATTTCTCCTCAAAAAGTAAGCATGTCTGTACCCTTTTTAATTCCTAAGTTCGCGGTGTCAGCCGACCTAAAGCCCCGTCCACCCACATGATGCTCAGGTTGCTTACACCGGAGGTCGTGAACGTGCTCCAGAAGCGAATATCAGACACGGACCTACCAGGCGGGCTCTCGGCAGACGAGGCGCAGGCACATCGTAAGGATAGCGGACGGCGTGATGTCCCCACCTTGATGCAATTGCCACCTAAGCGTGGTACAACTGTCCGGCTCACTTCCCCCACCTTTTCACTCCCCAATTTCAGCCTTTTGTATCCCCACCTCGCAGTGGGACAAATCCATCCCATCCCTTTCGTATAACACCGAGGCAACCGAAAGCAGATGCGCCCTCCCTTGACACCCAACGCGAGTACAGCACACACACAGGTTGCAGGAGCGACGTGCCGATACCGCTGCTGGGACAGCTAAAACACACAGCGCACATCCACACGTGTCGCACACACGCCCCGCCAACACACAGCATTTCCCTGCTGCTCTCACCGCCCGTTTCCACCTCCCCTCCCCTTCTACTCTTCTCAGGCCTAGCCAGGATGCTGCTGTGCATCGATGTCCAGTGTCCAGTGGACCACGTGCGCGTAAGTATGTGGATCTGGTGTGGATGTGGGTGGATGGTTGCCTTGGCTGTGTGGCTGTCCGGACATGGGGGGAAGGCCACTGGCGACCTGATGTTCGGGGGTTTGGCCACATTTGGGTTCGGTTGTCTTTCCCTTCAAGCCCTCCTCAACCTCTAACCGCTTGATCCAATTTCCCCCTCCTAACTCCCCAACCATCTCAATCTCCCCCTCCCCTTAAAACACCGCTATCACCATCGCCCCCGTCCTCAGGGCTGCGCCTCTCTGGACGACTCCCTACGTCTGCTCACCTCCCTGGCCCAACTGGCCGCATCTCACCAACAATACACCAGGGAGGCAGCTGCCGCCTCCACCCAAACCTCCAACACCACCATAGCAGCAGCAGCAACAACAACAACCACAACCACCGCCACCACCGGCCGCGCGCCCAGCCCCGTGCCCCAAGTCCTGAACGCCACCACCGGATCCACGCCGCGCCATCGCACCCCCCCTCGTGGCAACAGCTTCACCGGCGGCGGCGTGCTGCAGCTGCAGCAACAGCAACAGCAGCAGGACCCCGGCGGCGGTGGTGTAGGTGTAGCAAGCGGAAGCGGAGCAGGGCGGTTGAACCTCGGTTCGCTTGACGGGGAGTTTCGGTTGTTGGATGGCCTCGCGGAGCGGCTTCCTCAGCTTCTGGAAGCGGGGGGCGGGGGGAACTGGTTCCCCGGGGACATCATTGCGGCGCTGCAGACCTACATGTGTGTGTATGTGTGTGGGGGGGAGGGCTGGGAGGAGGGGTTAGGGGGGTCGTAGCGGTAAGGGTAGTAGCGGCAAGGGGTTGGAAGGAGGTTGAAGGATGGGGTGGGGGGTTGGACGGATCTGGATAACTGATTCGGTGAGGTGGTTGGGCGGAGATGGGAGGGAGGGTGGAGGGAGGGAGGACGGGAGAGGATATTAGATTAGCTCAACACGTGGGGCCCCCAGTTTTTGGGGCCCATGTGCATGGAGCTGACCCGTGTGTGCACAACTTCCCGGCCTGTTTATTTCTTCCACAAGCACACAGGCGTATATGCGGACATACAAACGCTGCGTCTCTGTCCCTCCCGTTCCCCTCCCCCGCAAGTTAATTTCCGCGTTTTGCATTACTTAGGTTACGTAAGCTTCCCCGGTCCCGCCACACACACCCGCAGGCAAACCTTGCCGCACATGCACGAGCTGGTTGCCGCAGTGGACCAAAGGTCGCAAAAGCTGAGGGGAGAGCTGCCCGCTCTGAGAGCGGAGGAGGCCCGGCTGGCGGCGGAGGTGCGGAGGAAGAGCCCGCTTGTGGGGAGAGGGGGGCATGGAGGCGCCAGGCAGGAGAGATGCAATATGGGCCAGGGTGCCCTCTCGGGATAAAGGAGAAGACGAGCTTAGGATGAACCAGTCCTTGTTCACCTACCTATCGGCGCCCCGCCTCCTGACCAGCGACTAACCCACGACCCACCTGCTCCTCCGGGAACCCGCACACAATTGGCTCTGTGCACTCCTACACAGGATTACAAATCCCCCCCCAAAAAAAAACCCTCACCTACCAGCAGGTGACAGTGGCGGGTGAGGCGGAGTGGCAGCGCCATGCGGAAGCCACCAGGGCCGAGCTGGCCAACCTGCTGGACAGCTCAGCAGCTTTCTTCCGCACATTTCAGGTACGTAGGACTTGTCACGGCTTACGCTCTCTCAGTACGCGAGTACCAATCTGTCTGGCAAGGTGCGGCGAGGCGAGGCGAGATGACTTAGCCCTCCAGGCCCGGAAAGCCCCCGATGCGCTTTCGGACGGACCTGGCCCGTCAACCCCGTTTCCGCACCTCCCTTACCTCGTATTTCCTGTGGGTCCCGCCTGCTCTGCCCGGCTCTTCCCTGCGCTGGCGTTCCCTTTCCTACCTCCTGTCCACTCCGATACGTGCCGCACCGAACCACATAACGCGTACATCACGTCACATCAGTTGGGCCTGCTCAGGAAAGCTGTGTTATTGGTCTTACAGCTTTGCGCGTCCCACTGCAATGCTTTTGCTTTTCGTCCTTCTTCTTCTTTTCGTCAAGCCGTCCTCCCCCTCCTTACCCCGTGTGTGGTTCGTGTGTGGTTCGTCTTTCCCCTCCTTACCCCTCCTCTCGGCAACAGACGGGGCTAGGTGTGTGGTGTGCCGCCAGCCGGGCCACTGACACTTGCGGGCTAGGGCCCCTGGCCTCGGAGCTGCTGCAGCGGTACGACGTACTGAGGCGGCTGGGGGCTGACCTGGCACGTATCCGCCAGGCACACACAGCCATTGTCAGCTGCGCGCCGCCGCTCACGGTAAGGCATGCGGGAAAGAGGGACAGGGAGTGGGGCGAATGGAAGGACGGGGAGTGGTGGATGGAGGCAAGGGAGGAGCGCCCTTTCATGAGCATTGAGCCGCAGTTCATTGCTTTCTTCCCTCATTCGCACCTCGTACCTCTTCCGCCGCTCTGGTGTAATACGCTTTTAGCGATTGGGCTGCTCCTTCGTGTCGTACGGTGTTTCTTTAATAAGATGCGCAAAGCGACTCACGAACCAGCCGACCCCACTCCGCTTACGTCGCCGCTCCACCGGACGGCATGTGGCCCATTCCCACCGGCCCAGGTACCAGCCTTAGGATTGAGCGTGCTCGCGTTAACATGCTCGCGATAAGCTAACGGCAGAATGTCCTGAACCTGCTGCGGCTTCGTGCTCTCATCGCGCGTCAACCTTTCCTCAACCACCCCAACCCCCCCTGGCCCCCGGCCCACGACAACCGCAATTACCCGCATCTAGGCAAAATGCCAACCCCAGTTTGGAACCCAAATTCCGACTTAAATGCCCGACTCCTATGTCATGTTCACGATCAATCCATTGCCGATTGCCATTTGCTGATTTCCGTTATCATTCCAAACCCGACCCGATCCCGACCTCTAAACCCTTGAAGTACCCCTGCCGGCCTGTCCTCCTTTGCACTTTGTAAAGCTGCTGGAGCAGCACACGTTGTCTCAGCTGGTTCGAGCGGGTCAGACGGCAGTGGAGCAGCTGCAGGAGCGAATTGCAGTGGAGCAGAGAGTGATGGCGGAGACGGAGGCCACAGGGGCAGCAGCGGCCGCGGCGGCGGCCCGCGGGGCGGCCGCGATGGCGCACGAGGCCGCCCGGGTGGCCATATGACTAACTGGTACCAGATGTCAGGTGCGTTGTATGTGAAATCTTATTTCATTCGACGCTGGTGGTGCGGTTTCGGCGGGATGTGGAAATATGTGCGACGGCCAATTGGCGTTGTTGTGTTGAAATGCCATGGCTGTTTGAAGTTTTGGTAGAAAACGATGGTTAAGGGGCGGTGGTTGCGGAGCCGGCTGGGACCCTGGGCTTGCAGTGCCCAACTTACGAACAACATGGCGCTATGATGGATTACACTCATGTCACCGTTGCGATGGACTGTCTGGCAGGGTGCAAGTGACGGGGTCCCGTGCGCGCACCGGGAATGTGCTTTCCTTTGATGCCCAGGTTGCTAGCTTCTGCTTGTCGATGCTACTGCGCCTACTCGCTTTGCGTTTTCCGACCTCGACAAATTTATGTTCTCTTGCACATGCGTATGCAGGATGCCTTTGAGGCGCCAGGGCGCACCGTGAAGGGCTACTTGAGGACAGAAGATCCTGGCCCTAAGTGATGGCCGTTCCCATGCCGTACAGCTATTTATGATCTGTGCGGTGCGATGCCCGGTGCGGCCAGCATAAGCCACCTGCTATTCACAAGAAAGATGATCACCTTGTTTACGGTGGCCAGGAGCGTTTCGAAATTGTTCCGTACATTGTACTGCAAGGGACCATACCAGGTTGTACGAATATCGTACAGAATCCATTCAACTTGTGAGGAGTCCCCGCTGTTGGATACATCTGGCTGTATCAGTCCCCTGAACCTGGTTGGTTAAAACAGCATGAGGGAGGGGTAGGGACTTTGCTCTTTCTTCCGGTGGACAGCTGCATCAGGCGCACCGTAGCGCGCTCAGTGGCCCACATGTTCCGTGCCAGCGCTGACCTGCTTTGTTCACTAAGAAGTGCAAGCAGAAAAAAACCGATTAAGGAAGGAAACCGCAGGCCTACACATGATCCCAAGCACGAAAGCCGGGGTTCTGTCTGAAGAGATGTCGAACCGGAAAGACTGTATAACCTGGTGATTAACTGAAGGACGACCAGGAGCCTCGGCCAGCTGCCTGAGAGGACAAAGAGGCCTGTGAGCGATTGGCTTGGGAACTACGGCACGGAAGCACGTAACCCCTTAGAGGCATTCAACTGCTGAAGAGACACGGTTGGGTTTAATGGATCAGCATCGTTACGATGCGCCGAGAGATGTGCTACGAGGCGTGAACTGGTAATTAGGCAGGCACAGCGTCCTGGCAATCTGGAAATGGTGGGAACACCCTGTACCAGACAGTGATCTCAATTATCGCCGGAGGAACCTGTCCTCGGGAGATCGGACGTGGGTCGTGCACAAAGCAGGTCCATGTGCGATCTGTTTGCCGCAGCGAGCGCGTGCTTGTACGCTCAGACTGCAGTGCACGTGCTTGCTGAACGCACACAATGACCTCGTCGAAGCAATCCTAGCATGTCGAGACCGCGAGGGACGCGTTGTCTGTTATGGTTAGAAGAGAAAACTTGCAGGACTGTCACGTTGTGGGTTCAGGGAACACTTGCAGCACCGCAACTGTTGCATTGTAGGTCTATGCTAAGAGTGTGAGGACGTGCAAGCACCTGCAGTCCCAAAATAAAGTGTCCCGTAAAGGACATCACGCATGTGGGACGCACAACGACATGGGGCGATTAGCGCAATGGGCCATTTCATGGCATCGGTACGGCAGCGTGGTGGCATAGCCCCCTATTCAGCGCAACGACAGTGATTCAAAAGGGCCCAGCGGTTTCAAACACTTTGCTGGCGTCGACTAAGGAGAGTCATGGGAATTCCTTAAAACAGTCCTTTATAACGACGATGGACGATCGCAGCCAGCCCAACGGCGGGTAATCCACGCCTAATCGTGCGGGGTCGATTTTCCGGACCAGGAGAAACGTTGGTACAGCTCTGTGTGAACGCGACATGCAAATATCATACACGTATCCAGGGGCGGTGGGGCAAACCAGCGCACGGGAACCCAAACGCGGAAACTCATGCACACACACAAACACACAACTTCGCAGTAACGGGTGTGCTAAGTGTCAGTACGGCTGTACATACAATCGGCACACACCACACGCTAAGAAAGCAGCACCATGACGTCAGGAGCTTGTGTTGCATTTTGCGCGCCATGCACTGAAAACAACGTTTTTACACACTAACAGAAGAATGTCCCCCTCAACCCAGGGTTCAGGCAATTGTTACAAATCCAAAAGCTGCTGACGAACTTGGGCATCGCGTCCCTGCAGAAACGGTATACTGACGACTGTGACCGATCTACCGAGGGAGAGCGCTGATGGCGTTAGATGCAATGGTTGTAACTACACATGCAAGGCAAAAACAAGAAGATATAGTGCAAACTTTACGGAAAGCTCAGGAAACCAGGTTCAACAATAGGTCCCCGGGACCAAGCACCGGGAGCAGAGCGGAGTGGCTACGCGTACTCCATGCAACTATGTATTCGGAGTTAGAAGTGCGAGTATCTATTCGAATTTGCAACAGCCTGAATTTCGAACACGCCGGAGAGTCCAGGAGGGCGGGGGATTTTGGAAGTGATGTACCAATAAAAGGCATTGCGGCATTGTTGCTCCTAGTAAGCGCAGGCTGAGTACATTGACTCTTCAACACAACTTTCAAAACGCAAAAGTTTACACTTAAGACTTTTGCTCATTCTGACTTGGTCTTTCCGACACGGCTGAGAGCCTACAGAAGACTCTACAGGCCTGTCAAAAGTTATCCTTTTGACTGTTTTGTATTAACTTGTGAGCTTGCTGATAATCAAGATGGCCGGAGACAAGAGCGCGAAGGAGACAAAGAAGGCCGCAGGTGAGCCTCCAGACGCCGCCACGCTTTCGATTGAATCCTCCGCATTATTTGTCTACCATGTACGAAGGATTGCCCTTGGCTTGTTTCAGCTGGCCGGCTGCTTCAGCTGGTGCAGTACAGGGCCACTTCTCGCCATGGCTGTCCCCCTATCCCTGCGAGGACGCCCTATGAGTGGACCCACGGGTCAAACACTTTCTGCTTACAGATCAAATTTCATACATTGTTCCTTCTTGGAAATTGCTGCGTGAAGCTATTGAGGAAGGCTTGCGCGGCCAGGGGGATTGGCGCCCATTCTGACCCGTTGACCCGTGTAGACCGGCATTCCCTCGCATGCTAAGAGCTTTCATACCCAGTTCTTATCATATTAGTTATGATTGAGATTGCTATTGGCCCTTGCAATGCGCTCAACTGTTGTATCCTGTCTTTCTCCCTCCGCACTGCCTTCATTATGCTTGCTCAGGTGACGCACCTAAGACAAAGGCCAAGCGAAAGGACGAGGGCAAGGAGGAGGCCGAGCGCCCCAAGAAGGCTCCCAAGGGTGAGATACCACTTCGTTCAGCGGTTTATCTCATGGTACTCCTAATACTTCTAAGCATCGCACGGCATGGCTATCATCATTTTCCTGCACTTGTATTATTGGCCACATGTGTGCGCATGGTCATACTCCAAAGGGACTTAGCCAAATGCTGTACGGCATTCCTGGCCTGAGTCCACCATGTTTCCGCCCTCCTGATCCGTGTAGCCGAGAAAGCCGCAACTGCGCCCAAGGCCAAGGCTGAGCCCGCCGCTAAGAAGGGCAAGAAGGCCGCTGAGGAGGGTGGCAAGGCCAAGAAGGAGAAGAAGGTCAAGGATCCAAACGCACCAAAGAAGAACCTTACAGCCTTCATGTACTTCTCGAATGCGCAGCGCGACAAAGTCAAGACAGACAACCCCGGTAAGGTGCCTTCAAGCGTCCTTTGTGCCGTTTTGGGATGCATGCATGCCAGGATGCGTGGTCTCCCTAACGTACCCAGGATGTGGAGTTTCTGCTGTTTGCAATGTTCTCTCGCAACTTTGTACCACCATTCCGTCCAGGAGATTTACCCCGTTCTGTTTTGACCAAACTTTCATGGGGCAGGGGTTTCATTCGGTGAAGTCGGCAAGCTTCTCGGCGAGAAGTGGAAGTCGTTGGGTGCCAACGAGAAGTCTGAGTACGAGGAGAAGGCCAAAAAGGACAAGGAGCGGTACGCGAAGGAGATGGAGGCATACAAGGAGAAGGGTGGGGAAGGCGCTGCTGCACCCGCAGCAAAGCCGAAGGCTAAGGCTAAGCCGCCCCCTCCCAAGAAGGAGGAGGAGGATGAAGATGAGGACGACGACGGAGATGACGGAGAAAGTGGCGAGGATGAGGTCATTGACGATGAGTGAATGTGATGATGAGTGAACTTCCCGGCCCCCTGCCGAAATTGGGGTGCGCTAGCGAAAAACTGCCTTGAATTTTGCCGTTGGTCTATTTGTAATGCATGGAGAGTGCGATACCCTGTTGTTACTGTATGATTGGTGTCTGCGATAAGTGGGGATAGAACTGATGCTTCAAGACTTGACGGGTGTTACGCTGTTCCGGAGATGCCGTTTCTGATGACATTTCCAACCAACGTTTTGCCTGACTGGACGAAGACAGCAGGAGTGCATGGTGCTTCTCCCAACCGGATGCAAGCGCACGGTCCAGACCTTGACCTATGAAGACCTACCTGTGGTGATTGTTGTTTGGACTTGCTCGGACACGCGGGCGATAAATCTGACTTTTGAGACTTCTTGTGCGCTGCATGTCTTGGAACCGCCTCTCATAGAATACATCTGTCAAATGCGAGCACAACGCATGACTTCTGAAAAATCACTGGTTACTTCGACTATCGCCGGCTATTAATGTAAAGAAATCTTTCATGTACCCATCTCCTGTGTCTGAAAACATGATACATGTTCCGGCAAGAAATAAAGGACAGGTTAAACCAATCCAACCAGCTAGATGGTCGTAAAATTGTGTCCTGTATTGGCCTTGGACGGACAGCAGTCTGATGCGGTTCGGACTACAGTTGTGTTTTATCTAATGCCCCCTGGTAAAGGCTAAGGACGTTTCGACATGATGTTCTTGGTGTGTATGGTGTGCTAGCTTGCCAATATTAGCGGCTGTTTGCCGAAGGCTAGAAAATCAGTACATTGATGCTTGGGCCCCTGCTCACTGGACACACTGCTTACGTTCCTGGAAAGCAATTTGCAGCCATGGACAAAGACTGTGAAGTACATGTACAGACATTATCGAGTATTTATACAAACTGGTACAAACACTGTAGGGTTTCTCTTAACTCGCCAACTACGTTCCGATGGCTTCGGTCCCACTTTAATTAATACTAAAGCTTACTCATCCCAAACATTTAGGGGAGTGGATGCAGCTGGATAGGTAGTACCGTCCCTATCGCACTTTCCTTCGCAACCTAAGGCGTGCCGTGCAACCGACATGTCGGTTTGCAGTAACCATGAACAGTTCGCAGCTCCGCACGCATTCAGCTACTCTTCCCGTTAACTTGCCTCTAATGGAAACATGACCTGACCATGATTTGTCAACTTATTACCGTTAGAACGTAGGATGTCGGGATTGTCAAGTTTGTCAGGAGCGCCACCCCCAGGAGTGCGGCGCTCCGTTCCAGACTCTGGAGGTATGTTCTCTGTTATGTACTTTACAAGGAGACCGCAGCGCGCGATGTTGTATTGTGAGATTCTGTTAACTCTATAGGGGCGCCGCTCTCCAGTTTGTCAGGCGCGCCATCACTGTCGGGAAATAGACCTGTAAGTACGCGGTGTTATGCGGAGCTAACATGGCCGCGAGTCAGAATTTTGCTTTGACCAGATGCTACCGTGCGGAACGAATTGCAGAAGCCAACGCTTGGAGACGACGCTGATGATTTTCCTGGTTCAGGGCCTCCGACGTTCTCAAAGCCGGTAGGAACCTTGGCTGTTCTAGGCTGTCCGCCATGTCGATTCGGAGTCGCGATTGTTGTACGAACGCGATGCTTATTCCTGCATCATGTGCACAGGGGACTTCCGGATCCATGGCTTCTTCGTCTGTCAGGAGCAGCGTGCGCAAGTCGACGCCGAATCCCCTAACAGCACGGTTTGGTGATGATGATGACTTCCCAAAAGCAACCGGGAAGAAGGGGGTTAGCTTCGCCAAGTCGAGCTCCGAGAAAAGGGGTATGTTCACGTGCTGGCATGGAGGGTGGTGAACAGTACGTTAGGGCTGTCGCGTGGAAAGGGCTCGAGGGATACCTTTGCTGCATGATGCCAATGGTTGTGTTTTCCGCTTACCCCTTCTCCTTGCCTCCACACCATATGCGGACCAGGTGCGAAGTCCCCTTTCGATGATAACAATGACGAACCGAAGGCTGGCAAGTCCACCTTCAAGGTACGTAAAAGCTGGAAGCGGGGTCTTTGTTGAAATGCACATCGGACCGATGCTATCCAAGAAAGCTCCAAATCAACTCCTTGAACCATAAAATGACTGGCGCTCCACCTGGACTGTTCCCATGGGCAGGACCCATTTTCCGATGACCCACCGCTCAGCACTCGAGGAGGACGGGCTGGCCCCAGCACCAGCTCTGCTATAAAACCATCCGCCAGCAACCCCGCTTTCAAGTGGGAGGACGACGACTCTCCGCCACGCGGCAAGTCCAGCACAGCAGGGAAAGCCCTGTTTGGCGACGACGACGACGACTTCCTGTCCTCCCTAGCCCCGGATTCCGTAGCCAAAAAGGCGGATGACCCGCTCTCGCGCTCGACTGCAACTGGCGTGCGCTCATCAATGACAAAGCCCGCAGGCAAGTCACCCGATGACATCTGGGGCATAATGAAGGCGAAGGAGGAGCCGCCCCCTTTTCCAGCGGACCTCGGACTGGACCTGTTTGGGGCTACCGCCAGGTGGGTCCATGCTTGGTGTTTCGGGAATCTATCCATGCAGCGCACTGCCAATGCTCGCCCGACTAGGCCCGGCAAGTTGTTTTGGAATATTTAGGGCACCACGTGGATGGGGCCCATAGCGGGACCGTAATTAGTCGGTCCTCAACAGCAGCAAATGGTTGTCATCCTCGCAAAGCTGCCTTAGACGGTATCGTGGCATCCGGCCTGACGCCTTTGGCAGCTGTGCTCGGGCTTAGGGTCCACCGTACTACCCGGCAGAGCCCGCCAAGAATGTGGCCCTTTGTTTACTCTTGCGTCCCTTTTTTCTTGTCGCACCGTGCCCACCCTTCAGCAAGCCGGCAAGCGGTCCCCGCGCCGGGCGGCGTGCGGGCGCGAGTGTGCAGCAGTCCATGACTGACCTGCCCCCGGAGATTTCCAGGGAGCCCACGCCGGAGCCATTGCGGCCGGCGATGTCGCCGGAGCCAAGTGAGTCCGTCCTCCTTGCCTGCAAAGGGGCTGGGGTGCGGGTTAGCCCTGAGGGGATTTTTAACGCAAAGAAAGAATTGGTTATGGAGCGGCGGTGCTGCGCTGTGAACCTCTGCGGAACGGGCCCAGATGTGCAGCCCTACCCACGATAGTTTGATAGCCCTGCTGTCTTGCCACGAACAGGCCGGGGCACCAGGGATGGAGGAATAAGGGAGTACGCCGGGCCGAAGTGAAGATTCGGCCTTTGGGCGGTGAAGACTTTGGGAAGCCCATGGGAACGAGGTGTGATTCAGCGCTGGCGGCGCGGGCTGCAAGGATTGGTTGCGTGGGGCTGGACTCGGGCTGGGGTACGAGGGGATGGAAAGAGATGGCTCATCCCGTCGCCAAGCCCCAAAGCCGCCCGGCTGGTGTCACCCATGGCGATGCACCCGGTGCGCTGGGCCAACACCAATACATCGCATGTATGGTTATACTGTCCGAGCCGCACGCACTCCTCTTTTTGTGCCGCACCGTCAATCATCGCAGGCAGCACCGTACGCCCGGGCGCCGAGCCGAGCGGTGGGTTTGATCGGAGCCGCAGCACCCCACGAGGATCTTACCTCGGCGAGGAGCTCAGCGATGTGCCAACACGCAGTGCAGGTGGGCCCGATGTGGAGGTGGGCGGGATGGAGTGTTCACCCAGGACGGCGCGGGGCATTGGCAGCTCTGTTGGATCACCGACACGTTTCTTCTCCTTGATTGGTCACTCTCCTTGGAGGAGTTAATGTGATCAGATGGCGGCTCTGTCGGGCTTGGATCGTCGAGGGAGGGGAATCGCCCGGGCTCTTTGCTGCATGCATACCACTGTGTTAATCCCTTAGATTGCAGTCATGGCAGCGCATACATACATAATTAATATCATTGGGAAGACATGCGTTATATAATAAAGGGCAAGGCTTCGCTCATGGTTAAAGGCTTGGCGTGATGAGATTTAAGGTGCAGCCACCCTGAGTGCTGCTGACCCAATTGGACGGTTGCTGCTCTTCGCAGGTTCAGCCCCTGGGTCGACCCGATCGCGTGGGAATGAGACCGGCATGGGGGCTGAGGTAAGGAGCGAGGCGTGTTCGCTAGCGTTTTGAGGATCACTATGGCCTTTGTCGTGAAAGCTGACTGCCGCGCAAAGCTGACCCGCGGCTGCATTGACGTCATGAAATCCCCAAGAACGACGCACCAACAGGTTTGCCGCGTACATGCACACTGGCAAACGTGCACGCATGTGTGTACGTGGCACCAGGAGTCTCACTTGTAGCACCTGTGCCAGGGTTCTACGAACCTATGCGCTTCTTATCCGTCCCTGTATTAGGAGGGACTAATCTGTACAGCTTTGTTTTCCCACCTTAACCCCCCTGCATGTGGGTTCCATTTCTATCGCTTTCCCGGGTCAGGCATCCAGCACCTCACCCCCCAGCCGTGCCACACGACCTAGCGGTGGTGGCGGCGCTGTGGGTGGCGCGATGGAGCTGGACGGAGATGAATTGCCTGGCCTAGGGTCGCCCGCCATGTTAAGCAAAAGTATGTAGCCCTGACCCGGGGCTGTGGATTGGGTAGACGCATACTGAGTTACGCGTGTGCAAACACCGCCAACGGGTCTACACAATGTCATTCGCGGGATGCTTTGCTCGATGCGCATGGGGGCCGCCCGGCTGCGACGCATGGCTCCTGCCCAGCCACGACGGAGCGGTCCATCGGTACCATACACCGGCATTTGCTTTAACCTCTCCTTTGTTGTTGTTGGGCGGGGCGTCGTTACCTGCTGCATTTTCTGTTTGCTTTCTTGTCCTGACACCCCACATCTTAAAGGCATACGACCTACCTCGCATATTTCCACGATACCCGTGGAGGCGATGCTGCCTAGGCTGATCGCACTGCGATTTGTGTTGCTTTCTATGCCTTAGAGGTTCACTATTGTAGTGTCGAGCTATCTGCGGCGCTATCTGAGCCCCCCCTGCCGGCCCGTCACCCAGATCCCAGCACCGCCTCAGTGCACGCGGCGGCAGCTGCGGCGCCGGCTGGAGGCCGTCGGACTGGCCCGGCTACCGCAGCGGCAAAGCCGCGAAAGGAAGAAGATAGCTGGGAGATGGACGACAACCTGCTGCCAGACGACAGCAACACTCCGCCGCCCGCTGCGCTGCCACCAAAGTCGCCCACGATGGGTGGCAGCTCGGGCTACACGCCCAGCGCGGCGGAGGCGCCTGGGAGGTCGCGGCTGCAGAATACCACGTTTTTGGGCCAGAAGAAAGGTGTGCGGGATTGTGCAGCCTCGCTTGAAGAACTAGGGCCACGGCATAAGGAACTTTGGAACCACCTTGGAACCTCTAGGGCTTGCCAAAGCAGCTACCACGTTTTTTGTATTTCGAGGCAAGATCGACACATAAGGCGTAAAAGGCCGCGGAGTGGTGTGTGACGCGTGACCTGGAGGCGCTGCAAGCATGTTTGTCGGCCCTTGTGCTGACCCGTGGCCCCGCCCTCAACTGCCCGCAGAGGAGGAGCCGATGGCCAGCGACGAGCCTCCAGAAACCGGCGGCTACACGCCATCTTTTGGAGGTGTGAGACGCTCGCTCGGAGGCCCCGGGCTTGGTGGCGGGGGCCTGGGCTCCAGTGTAGACGTGAGCGCTGGTGGTGGCGGGCTCATGGGCTCAGCACTGAATCCAGGAGGCCCCGGTGCCCCGCGTCCTCGGCGGCAGCTGGGCGCGGGCGCGGACACCTCTCCATTGGCTTCACTGTCCGGCGGCGGATTGGCCGGCGGCGGCGCCAAGCCAGGCACTCCGCCAGCGAAGAAGGTAGGTGAACTCTTGCTTAAAAGAGCGAACGGAGAAGATGATGAAAAGGAAGATGGCGAGGGTTGTGGGTTGCAAAGGGGAGGGTATGTGATTTTCGTCGCGCCTGGTGCTCGATTCCTCCAGGGTTGCAAGGTTCTTGTCCCCTTAAGCCAGGGCCATGACTTGTAGCCCAGGCGGCTGCACGTTTGTGTTCAATGCTCCCTTTCCTGTGTAAGCTTTTTCCTTTTACTCTGTGCCTTGCATGCAGACCAAAGAGGATGAGGAGCGTGAGCGTACTCAGAAGGCTATGGCGGAGGCCATGGCTCGCCGCCAGCAGCTACTTGCGTCAGGTCCCATCCGCATGCCGGGGCAGGACCGACCAGGTGCGTATGGGGGAAACGGTAGGGAGATAATGTAGTTATGTAAAGGAAAGGGCAGTCTCGCCTTCTGTAGCTCTGTTGCACGGCAATGGCCGTGGATGGCTTGGCCGTGGGTCAGAACGAACCGCGCCGGCTTAGTCCTGCGACCTGCGGCACCCAAGACAGGCTACTGGGCTGGGCGGTGAGCTGCTTCTCGCGTTGCTGCCGGGTCTGGTTTTGCTTTGTTAGGGTTGGGTGCAAGGATTGCGAGCGCATGGCGCCGGCAGAGCATCACATCCTGCAGCTGCCAATAGTGGACGTGGCTGTGGCTTGGTAGCCTTAAAGCTCTCGTATTTCTCAGATCAACATCTTTTCAAACCCTGTCCTGCCCTGACTAAACAGGAGGAAATCAAAAGACGGCCCACGCCCCACTGCCTGCCTCCCCTGCCTTCGCAGCCCCCGTCAGCCCCACAGGCTTTGGCTCCACCGCGGCCACAGATTCCGGGGTGGTTACTACGCCGCTCAGCCCCTCCCCCATACGGGCTGTACCAGAAGGAAAGCCTGGCATGGGCGGCTTCGGCAAGAAGGTGCCTGGCTTGGGGTTCTCATCGGACTCGTCAGATGATGTAAGTCACAGGATCGGGGGGCAAAGTAAAGTTAGATATGGCTGTCTGCACTGGGCGCCTGGCCCAGGCAATTCCCGCTGCTGCTGGCTGTCGGCTGTCGACAGAATGCCTCGTCCTGCAACAATCACTTGGGCCTTCCGCCCGTCATCAGACCGCCCCGCTTAGTCGCATGCACGAGCAGTGCACATTGGGTGGTATCATGAATGATTGCGACAAACCAACCCATCAATCGCTCGCAACGTAATCCGTTCATCGCTCTGTGCGCACCTCACCTACGCCGCCACTCCCCAGGAATTGCTGCAACCCGACAAGGCCACCTCTCCGCCGCTCCACATGATGGCCGGCCGCAAGGCTGGCTCCGCCGGTCACCAGCCGTCGCGCGCCACCACGGCCGGACCCCTCACCCGTGAGACCTTCGACAGCCGCGTCGCCAGCAGCGTGCCCGAGATGGGTGCCGCCGCGGCGGCGGCGGCGTTGGGCGCCGTGCCCGGTCCCGGTCCCGGGAGTATCCTGCAGTCAAGTGCGCCCGCACCGCCGCTCCTACCAGAGGCTTCCTACCCGCACAGCGTCGGCTCTCAGCCCAGTGCGCCCAATGTAGGGCCCGTCCCATCGCAGACGCCATCGCAGCTACCCCAGCCCGAGCGGTCCGGCACGTCCTCGGCCTCCCAGCCGTCGGCTGCTGGCGCCGCTGGCTTGCTGCCAGGCGTCGCGGCGGTGTCGCCGCAGGCATCGCAGATGCAGGGCCTATCGCCGCCTCCGCCCGTGCAGCAACAGGCCAACCCACCGCCAGGAGTGACCGCTGTACAGCAGCAGCAGCAGCCAGGCTCGCCAACGGGTGTTGCGCCTGTGGCCTCGCAGGGAAATTTTCCGCCGGGCATGGGTCCCCCGTATCAACAGCAGCAACCGGGTCTTCCGCCCGGTGTTACTGTGATGCAGCCACAGCAGCAGCAACCGAGCTTGCCACCAGGGGTGACTCAGATGCAGATCTCGCAACCACAGCATCCGGGCTTGCCGCCGGGGGTAACACAAATGCAGCAGCAGCCAGGCTTGCCGCCCAGCGTTACTGTGATACATCCGCAGCAACAGCAACAGCAGCCAGGCTTGCCGCCCGGCGTTACTGCATTGCAACCGCAGCAACAGCAGCAGCAGCCGGGTCTACCACCTGGGGTCACTGCATTGCAACCGCAGCAGCAGCAGCAGCGCGGTCTTCCGCCGGGCGTAGCTGATTGGCAGCAGCAGCAACAACAACAAAACTTGCCTCCCGGCGTCATGTCTATGCAACAAAACTACCAGCGCAGTCTGCCTCCTGGGGTCACAGATCTCCAGCAGCAGCAGCAGCAGAGCAACGTGGCCCCCGGGGTCATGCCCATTCAGCAGCGTAACGTGGCGCCCGGTATGCTCGACATGCAGCTGCAACAACAGCAACAACTGCAGCAGCAACAACTGCAGCAGCAGCAGCAGCTACTTCCCCCCGGAGTGGTGCAAATGGCTGGTGCGCAGCAGGGCCTGCCGCGTTCACCCGGCGCCGGAGGGCAGAGAGTACCGGGTTACGAGCCGACGAGCCCGGGAGCAACGACAGGTGAGAGCCCCTGTCCACCTCCCCTTCATGTTCCAAGCCCCATGACTAGGTTCTGGTGTAAGATGGATGGTGTGGATGGCGCCACTTGTCGAACTGTAAAAACCCATAACAGGTACCTGATCAGTGCAACCAAAAGCCGGCTCTCCTCTTTCCTGAGTGCCCACTCATGCCGCGCCTCTGGCCGGTGCTCCTGCTTGCCCGCTTGGCTACTTGCGTGCGGTAGCCCTGCCCGTTTACTGACGTGCCACATCTCGCCCAGCTTCAGGTGGACGCTATGGCTCTCCGCAACATGTTCAGCAGGGCGGCGGAATGTCAACAGCGTTTGCCGTGTCGCCCGACTCGGTCGCCGCGGTCACCATCAGCCGCGCAATGTCGGCCCAGCAGCAGGCCCAGCAGCCTCAGCCGCATAACGTGAGCGCCTTAGCCGTCCCCAGCTCCGCCTCCCAGTCGCCGGGGGAGCCAACGCTAGCGTCACGCCTTTCCCTAGAGCCCCTCAAGGACGCGCTGACCAAGAGCCTGCAGGTACCGTATTACGCTTCGCTGTGCGGTTTGCTTATGAGCTTCTGCAGCCGCTGTGTGGCTTGTGAGTGAAACACTGCACGTCGCCATTTCCCTCCATATCTCCCTAACACGGCCGCCACCATAATCCTCTAGCGTTTGAATTGTGTCTCTCTTTCTATATCAGCCCGCTGGTGCTTTGGCTTCTTAGCTTTGAATCTCTGCAGCTAATATTGTATGCCTTTTTCGTTTGCATTATGTCCTCCCTAGGACGAGCTGGAAAAGGTCAGCAAGCAGGTGGCCGAGGTCAAAGCCAGCTACGATAAACAGCTCGCAGACGTGCGCGCCGAGTATGAGCGACAGCTAGCGGAGGCGCGCACGGTGCACCAGAAGCAGCTGCTGGACGTGCGTGCGCTGGCTGAACGGCAGGTTGAGGAGGCGCGCGCCCACCACCGTAAGCAGATGGAGGACGTGCACGTGCACAACGAGCGCAAGCTGGATGAGGTCCGGCGGCGCATGGAGCGGCAGGCGGAGGAGGCGCGCGCGGCGCAGGAGCGCGTGCTGGTGGAGGCGCGCGCTCAACGAGATAAGGTGTTGGAGGACGCGCGGTTGGCGCAGACCAAGGCGCTTGAAGACGCGCGCGGGCAGCAGCAGCGGGCTCTGGAGGATACGCGGGCGCTACACGAGCGCGTATTGGCGGACACGCAGGCTGTACACGTGAAGCAGGTGCGTCGGCTAGGGACAAAAGATAGCGGAGCCACATTTGTCCCTTTTTCTTATCTTTACCCCTCTTTCCAACCCCGTCCAGAAACCACCTGCGTTCGGGTCTGGTTATGTTTCCCATAACCTGTCTGTTTTTTCTCTCTATGGCTGCTCAGGTAGTGGAGCTTAAGAACTTGTACGAGTCGGAGCTGCGCCGGGCCGCACACGATGTCGGCCGGGCTGTGGATGACACACGGCGAGTCGCGGAAGAGGCGCGGCGCCAGGAAGCAGAGGCCCGCCGTGCAAAGGTGAGATCGGGTCCGATCCGTCTATGGATAGGTTGTCCTATGGACGGACAGAAGGGCGAGCACGAGCCATGAGGACGGCGCCTGGGAATCTGTGAGGATGGAGGACACATTCCCCCTGGACGCACATGCCGGCACGAAGCAGCACGCTGTCACGCAGCTGCAACCAGATAACCGAGCCTCGCGCACTTTCCGACGCCCTAATACATTCAAGGCACGCAAGCCCAAGCCTAGCTGCGTACGAGTCCTGCCGTTGCCGTTGCCCTGCCAGAACTCTTTGCGGTGCTGCCGCTGGGCCGCTTCTGTTTTCCTTGCCGCAGGAGGAGGCGGTGGCCCTGCGCGACCGCATCCTGGGCCTGGAGGCGGAGCTTCGGGCTCGGGACGGGGCGCTGCGCGAGGCAGAGACACGCTTCGTGCAGCTGGACACGCGCAGCAAGACGGAATTGGCGGAGACACAGGTGCGTCGGGAACAGGGGGTTGGGAAGGCGCCCGGATGGTGGGGCCGATGACAGAGGGCTGGTGCGGCAAGGCGGCGGCTGAGCTTCGTGGCCCAGGCGAAGGTGCATTCTACGGCACACCATGTGCTCCTCCGGGTGCAGGGAATTCAATGGTTTGGGTAGGCTTGTGAAATAACCAAGGTATTTGACCAAGAGCCTGTAAGGGCGTGCTTGGCGGATAATAACCTCAGGGGAAGAGGGCCCTGATCTAGCGTGTACGGGTTCTCGGGGCCCTTGGTGTGGCCGTGACGACCACCTCCGCTGCCGGTCGCAGGCAAACGCCATCAAAGAGGCGGCGCTGATGAAGCTAGAGATGGAAGATGCCAAGGCGGCGCTGAGCCGTGTACGGCAGCAGTACGAGGAGGCAGCCATGGCGCACGCGGCGGAGGTCACGAGGTATCGGGTGAGTGGACTTGTGGATTTTGCGCCTCTGAGGCCAAGCCGCGAATAGGCCTGACAAGCACTGGCCGCCCGCCGGCTGTTGGTGCTGGTGCTGCTGGTTTCATTTCTACTGGCCTGCTTAGTCGGCTGCCAGGTATCGTCCTTGCTGCTTGGGGCCACAGGTTTGGGGTCAAAACGGGGGTGCGAATACCTTGGCGTGTCGAGAGTGACTGGGCCCTGAAGCGCCCGGAGCGACCATGTTTTCCATGAGCCGTTCTGACCCTGGCTGGTTTATCCTTCATAATCATTATCCGCATGAAGGCGGAGCTGGACGCACAGCGCGTCATGGCAGAGGAGGAGCTACAGCGCGCGCGGCTTGCGACAGCGGAGCAGATCGCGGCTGCGGAGGCGCGCGGGAGGCGCGCGGGCATGCTGGACAAGGAGATTGCGGAGGCGACCATCCGGCAACAGATGGCGGCTATTGCGGAGGAGAAGGAGGTGGTGGCGCGGCACCGCCTGAGCGCGGAGCTGCTGGCGCAGCTGACAGAAAAGGTGCGTGTGGCGACGCCTGTAATTTCAGCTGTTTGGGTCGTTGGCGGCTGGTAAGGAGTGGCCCGCGTGTTGAGGGCGGCCCGAGAGTGCGCGACCGGTTTAGAGCCTCTGCAAATGCTTTGCCACCCATTTGCTGGCCCTCCGTAAGCCGTCCACAATGCCTTACCTGCCGCTTTGTAATGGGGTATGGAAGGGAAGGAGCACACAGGACGTCGGATCTTCGTCGCTTTATGCTGTTTTCCACGGCAAGGCCACCAGCAAAACCGCGGATAGCAACCCATCCGCTACACCGCAAACTTTGCCTCCCAACCTCGCGGCATGTCGCCGCACGCCGCGGGTGCCTTGTCTTTCAGGTTCGCTCCGTGGCGGTGAGCTCCCTGGAGCGCGAGGAGCGTGCACTGTCCGCCCTGGAGCGCGACGTGGCGGACCGCGAAGGCCGACTGGCGGCGCGGGAGAAGCTGCTGGGCGAGCGCGAGGGCCGCGTAGCTCAGCGGGAGCGGGAAGTGGACGCGCTACGGGCGGATCTGCAGGTGAGTGCTCTTTTTTAAAACTTGTCTGAGCCGCGATACGGGAACGGGCTGAAGTGGGTGCACGTGGGTGCGGGCGCAGGTCAGTGTGCGTGGACGTGCGACCTGCTCCTGTCTGACTGTCTGTCTGGGTCCTCAGCTCTCAGCCGCTTTTGTGCTGCTGGTGACCCCGCGGGCAGAGAACAAAAAAATTGAACGCATGGTGTTTGTGTGACCTCTGAAAATTATGCTGTGCTGCAGAATCTGATGGTAACGCTGGAGACTAGCGCTGTGCACGACCGTGAAGACCTCAAGCGCGAGCAGCTGCGCCTCACACGGGAGGCAGCTCGTGTGGAGGCGGCCACGTCGTCCCTACAGGTAGGAAGGCGGCGGGAAAGGCGTAGTCGGAGGTGGACACGGGATTGAGGATGACATCGCTGCGAGCGGGGGGGGAGTTGCAGGCGCCTCCTTCCTGTTTGGTTGGTTCGCCATGAAGCAAGTGCAGGGCAGGTTGTGTGCGTACATTTAGTGCGGTGAAAGATTGTGTGTTAACAACCGCTCCAGTCAGGCAAAGCGGGTGACCTGGGCCCCCATGGCATCTTCTGCAGACACTTTCGCACGAGCCAAAGAGAGTTGTGCCGCAGGGAGCAAGGGACTGGCGCAGTTTGTACCATCTAAACGCACACGCCTTCACTGTGGTTCAAGCGCAGTGGCGCCTTTGCTGTTGTGCTGCCTTCGTATCAGCTGCTAATGAAGTTTTTCACGCACTCCTGCCTACGGTGTCCCACCGTTTCTTGATCGTAGGCGGAGCGCGAGGACCTGCGGGTGCAGGTGCGTGTGTGTCGGCGGCGAGGAGTGATTGAGGGCGTGCTGTGCGGGCGTGCTATCGAGTCGCTCAAGGAAAAGGCAGGCGAACCTACCTCAAGGAACAGGCGGAGTCAGCAAGTTAGAAATCAACAAAGAGAGCGGCATCACAAACCAACTCTGATGTGCATGTCAAGTCTAAGTATGCTCTGCATGGCTTGCACGGCGACATCTCGATGCTGCGCCATCAGTTCCATTGCCCGTTTGTGCGTCGGCCCCTGCTTCCGTTTTATTGCATGGGGGGTTTGTGCAGATCGCGATGGAGCGGCGGCTGCTGGAGGAGGCGCGTGAGGCACGGCGGCGGGAGAGGGAGGATCTGCTGACCGAGGTGACAGCGGAGCGGCGGCGCCTGGCGACCGAGTACGCGGATACGCAGCGCCAGTTGGATGCGGCACGCACGGAGCTGCTGGCCGTGCGCAGCAGGTGTGGCGCTGTGGCCCATGGCGGGGATTGGATGGGGGGTTCAAGAGATGTTCGGTGTCGGCGGGACCCCACTGCAGTTGCTCTAAACGTTTATCCATCCGCACTGCGACTGCGCGATGCCCTTGCCCTGGGCCAGCGGGTTAGGACCAACGCTGGTAGAGGTTCTTCGGAAACAGCAATTTCCGACCTCGTATAGCGGAGACGAGTTCAACCCTAAGACCCATGACATACCATATACCATGTTAGGAGTACTGTGTGTGTCATATCCGCGCGAAGAAGTATGCGGAAAGGCTCTACTGGGCTTGTGACCGCTTCACTGCACTCCACGCCACCGGTCGCGTCCCGTCGTGCCCCGACCTGCAGACTTGTCGACCTCGAAAGCCGCTGCAGCGGCGCCGCTGCACAGGTGGCCGAGGAGGAGAAGCGGCTGGAGGCGCTGCGCATAGAGGCGTCCCAGACGCGTCAGGGGTTGGAGGCGGAGACGTCTCAGATCCGCAAGGCACTGGAAGCAGAGGTAACACAGACCCGACAGGCGCTTCAGGCAGAAGCGAAGCAGACACGAGAATTGCTCCAAGACGAAGTGGCGCAGGCGCGTGAGTCTGTGTTTGCCGAGGTGAAGCAGACACGGGAGTCGCTCAAGGCGGAGGTGGCGCGCACGCGGGCGGAGCTGCAGGCGGAGGCCAACGAGACAGGGGAGGCACTGCGTGGGGAGAAAGAGGTCGTCATGGTGCGTGGGTTGGGCCGGGGTGGGCTGGGATGGGGCGGGTGAGGCGGTCGTAGGCAGCCTTGCGATGGTGGCGTGGAAGAGGCCTAGCGGCTGGATGTAGAATCGCGGGTTTTGGAGGTTGCTTTTGAGCTCTGGGACAACGGATTGAGGCGAGCAAGCAGGTTAAAGCCGCTGGGAAGTGGACTGTGTTAGCGGGGCCGGAGAATTTAGCAGTGTGCCGGGCCCGGTCTGGTCTTGTCCAGTCCGATTCCCTGGTCGCGTGGCCAAGATGCTTTGTGGCTTTCGCAATTACGAGTGCTTCAGTTATCGCAGCTGCGTAATGCAGCCGTAATGCAGCTGCGTAATGCAGCCGTTGTCATTGTCGTCGTGCTATATGTGCCGCTCTTAAGCACTCGGACCCACTTCATTCAAGTTTCCTTTTCCCGGCATCCCATCCCCACCCCCCGCACGCACCCCCACACGCACTCCTCCACGCCCCCCTCTGCCGGTCCGCCACGCAGTTGAAGAGAGCCAATGTGGACATCGAGGCTCGGGAGCTGGTGGAGTATGCCGCCAAGCTGCGGGTACGTGCATGGGTCCGGGCCGGCTGTTGCAGGGCAGGAAGCGGGAGAGTGTTTGGTCTGACGTAGCAGATGGACGGGACCTTGGGTGTGGGTTGTGTCGCTGCTAGCGGTGCATACGGTGAGGTGCTAAAGGAACTGGCTGTCATAATCCGCTATCACTGGGTGCTTGAATGTGCAAGAGAGTGCCATGGCCGTGAAGGGCGGCCACGAAAGAGGAGAGTGTTGTCATCGCCTTTCAATAACGAAGTTAGAGAAGTCGGGCAGCTCCCACTTGAACTCTTGCTTGGCTGTGTGCTGACCTGCATGGACATTTCTGCTCCTGTCCCCCGCACCAAGCGCGTCTGTCGGCCGTTCGACTCCTGCTTCGGCTCCGGTTCTTTGGTTCTCCCGTCCCCAGGCCCAGTCTGAGGAGCTGGCCGCTCGGGCTGCGGAAGCGGAGTTGCGCGACACCCAGATCAAGACCACCCTGGAGTCCCTCACTCGCAACCAGGAAGAGCTGCTGGCCGCACAGAAGCAGGTGGAGGAGCAGCGGGTGGCGCAGGAGGCCTTGAAGAAGGTGTGTGTTGGAAGGGGCGCCCAAGCGGATGGGGACTTGGCTATACTTATATAATAGGGCCGGGCCGGCTCGAGAAGATGTGGCTCATGGGCCCTACTTGAGGAACAGAGTCCCGGGCTCGCGCGGCCTAGTTCCCTGCCAGGTTCTGTTACATTGGCCTGTCGCGTCCGCCGGCGGCTTCCAAGCTGCCGGCTTCACGATACCCGTTTCGCCGCTGGTCCACATTCACCTCACGCCGCTGTAGGCTCTGGACAAGGACCGCAAGGCCCTGATGGAGGAGCGCCAGGGGCTGGCGGAGGAGCGCCTGGCGGCCTCTCGGTCCGCAGACGAGGCGCGCACGGAGCAGATCCGACTGATGGAGGCGGTCCGGACCTACGTGCAGCAGGGCATACCCATACCCTTTGCGATGGACGGTACGTGCTCCAGGTGTCCGGTCGTAGCTGTAACAAAGGAGGGCGGAAAGGAAGGGAAACGGGAGGGACGGGGTGGGAGCAATCTTTTGTTTTGCTGATCCTGTCGCTGTTGTTCGTGGTGCAGGGAAGAGCTCCCTGGCAGTAGCATTGCCATATTGCGCTGCTGCTGATGTTCGCTCTGGGAACCAGAGGGAAATACACACGGTGTCAGTGTACTTTCCCTCTGCGGTCTGCTTTGCGCGCATTTTGTGAAACATCGCAAGGCAATTTCAGCTTCCTCCTCTCCCCTTTTTCCCCTTACCTACGCAGGCACCAGCGGGCGGCTTAAGCCCGTGCCGCCCCCTATGCGCCACTCCTCACCCTCGCCGGATCGTCACCGCAGCGGCAAGCGCCGTGGGCCCCGCCCCACCGGCCGCAGCCGCAACGCCCTCAAGTACCTACTGGACCGGCTCGGCATGGATGCCGCCATCACCGCCGCGGAGTCGCCTCCCGGGCATCTCGGCGGAGCTGGCGGGGCCAGCGGTAGCAGCTATGTGCGCGCGCAGCACGAGTTTTTGGAGAAGATGCGGCTGTCGGCGACAACGGGTGAGCAGGCGGGATAGCCAGGAATGCTAGGGAGCGGGAATGAGCAGCAGCGGTTGTGACCTCGGCTGGCTGGCGCAGCCTATTGTGGGGATTGACCTGCGGTTGTGCGGGTATGTGAGTTATGGAAAGCAACAGGATTCGCAATCGCAGGAGAGGATGTCGATCCTTCGTGCGTTTTCCGACAGCGGTATGTGATGCTGCTCGCGCTCCCGCGCACCAGCCGATTGCTACCTGATTTATGTTATGAAGTGTCTGGACGAGCAAGTCCTCGTACTTGAGTCTCCCGTTGCCGCCCTGATGCCTGTTCCTCGCCCTGGTGTCGCCCCAAGCTGGCAACCGCTGGACAATGTACGGTAGCAAGTACCAGCACCTCGCCTAGGTAGCTCGCACAACCGATGGTTGTCCCATCTTCCTTCCTTCTGACCTCGTTCCTCATCTGTCCCGCGAACCAACTCTCACTCACCACAATTCCTCCAAAGATCTCCGCACCCGCCTTCAACCGCAACCCACTGCAAATTCCGCACCCTCCCAGGCCCGGCGTCCGTGGGCCCCAAGCTCAACTCCATGACGCCAACCGCCGCGGCGCGCGCCACCACCGTTACTTCGCCAATACCTGCGGGTCTCAACCCCGCGTTGCTGCCACCCGGCCTCCCCGCCGCGCACGCGCGCAGCGTTGTTGTCACGCCCGTCAAGCACGTCAGTACTGTGCCGGTGGGTGTCGACGACGGTGGCGGCATCTTGACGGCGAGGGGCCAGCTGGAGAGCGAGATGCCAGCGTCGGCGGCACCGCTGCCGTCCTTATCCGTCGGCTTGGCGGACAGTCCCGGCCTGGCCGCCGCGGCGGTTGATCACGACACCCTGTCACAGCTCCTCTTCCGCCACGGCGTCGGCGCAGCGGATGAACAGGCGTTTGGCGGCGGCGGGGGTACTGCCGTCATTCAACAGCTTCTGGACACGATACAGATGGCGCTGAAAAAGTCAAGTCGCGTGAGTGCCTCCAAGGCTTCTGACGCAAGCGCACTAGAAACCGCAGGCCACGCGCACCGGACTTTATCGGCAGCGGTGGTGCAGCCGGAATCCCGCAGCCGCGGCGGCGCAGCTAATGTATCCCGCGCTGTTAATTCGCAACGGCGGCATGGGGGTGGAAGCCGCCATGGCAACGCGGCGGCCGGTGGGGAGGGCGCCGCAGGTGATGGCAGCGGCGCCGCGACGTTGCCGCGTGTGCTCCTCAACACACCGGGCATGGGAGCGTCATTGGGGTTGGAGTCGGAGGTGCCGTTGCGCGACCCGATGCAGGTAAGGAGACCGTTTGAGCCATGGGAGAGGTGCACATGGATGGGGTTACTATGACGAGGAGCGGACGATGGTGATTCGCGACTCTACACCACCGCGAAAGCCGCCGGGCCAACTACTTTAAACGGGCCGACCTTGCATTACTGTGTTTCTCTGCAAGGCGGGCGCCGGGGCGGGTGAGCTGCGCTGACGGAGATTCCCCCCTTTGGGACTTCCCTGCAGCTTGCATAGCCTGTGCACCTACCACACTACTAGATCAATATTCACATTCGCGTCCCCATTTTCCTTTGCCCCGCCAACAGCCGGAAGGCCAGGTGTCGTCCATCGCCTCCCTGGAGCCCCTCAGCGCCTCCAACGGCTCCTTCGCCGACGTCCCGCCCCCCCGTGTGGAGGTCGACTCGCCTGACCTGTCCGGGCCCTTGGGCCGCGGCTTGGACCTGCTGGCGGAACAGCTTAGCAGCTCCACCGTCTTTGACTCCGCCGCTGCCGCCACTCCGGCCAACACGCTCATGAGCCGTACCGCCGTAGGCGCCAGCCTCGGCAGCGAGGACTACGCTTTTGGCCTGTTGGGCCATGGCCGCAACGCCACGGCGGCTGCGCGGCAGGCTCAACTGGGCGAGCTGGCAGCTATGAGCGAAATGCTGGCGGCGCGGCTGGACGCGCTGGGGCTGGGACAGATGGGCGGAGGGGGAATGACAGATTCGCAAGGCAGCGGCGGCTTTCGGGGTGTGAGAGGAGGTGGCGTAGAGGGCACCAGCCTGATGAACTCCGCCAATTTGAGCCCGCGGGTGGATATGCCTGGCGGAGGCGGCATGACGTTGCGGCAGGGTACGGCGGCGCGGCTGTCACCATTGGCAGTAGCATCGCCCACCACGAGGACGATGCAGTGGGCTGGCGCGGCTGAGGGTTTGGCGCGTTCGCTGACGGGCGCTGGCCTCGGCGGCGCGGCCGCTGCAGGATCGATGGCGACAACACCGCGGCCGGGACTGGGCATTGTCGGTGGTGGGCTGGGTTCCACGACTCGCAGTGCGGCGGACACCCCGCTGCTGGGATCAACCAATGCGGATGCACTGGCCGGCTTGACGATGCCACCGCAGGTGGGTGTGAAGGCAAGTTTCGGCAAGGCTCGAGCTATTTTAGCTATGCTGCAATAGGCAGGGCTGTGCAGGCGGAATAGTGTACGGCCGGATAACGTATGATGGGAGCGTCCCTGCGGCCACTCATGTCGATCACACAGCCTCAATCGCATAACGCATGTAATGGCTGCTCTTATTAAAGCTATTCATCTGGGTAGCTGAACCTCTCCCTGGGATGGCTCTGCTACATTTGAGAGGTGATTGAGACCACCTGAGAATATCTTCGTTTGGGATGCCCTGATGCAGGACGATTTCGACATGAATGAGGAGGATGCGGATGGTGAGGCGGCGCGAGAGGCTGGCGGTGGCGGCGGTGGTGAGGGCACCCTGTCGACCATTGCCTCCGTTGACACCATCAGCGACGATGATGAGGCCGTTACGAGCATGCTGCCCTAACGGTGCTAGGCAAGGCACATAACAAGGCCCGCCTCCTGACGATTACGGTGTGTCATGTGGATTTTGATCATTATTAAGACGACGATAACGAACACAATGACGAGAATGACCACCATGCATAATGACAATGATGACCACGGCGGCAGTGGCCACGACGATGACGAGCGAGTGCGACCTTCGGAGCCTGGACTTGCCCAGCAAGCATTGCAGGACTTGAACTGTTGTTACCATCACTGCTGCTCTGCTGCTGATTACTCCTACCACGACGATTGATCCCATTCGTGTGACTGACAGATGGATTATGGGTTAGTATTGTGACTCTTCTGTGTCTGTATGTGTGTGTGTGGATTGAGACGTGAGGGCCATTTTACTTGCTGTGTGACCATTGTTCGTGTTCCGCGGAGACGGCGGTGATGAAAGTGAAGAAAGCTGCCTCATGTCTCATGGTGTATACGCCACAGACCCTGAGTGGTAAAGCATCAGGTGTGGCAATGCCGATAATCGCGTCTCGGTGTCAGGAAATGTATTTGATGATGAATGCCAATGGGGGAACCTCCCGGAAGGTAGGGGACCCGGAACTCACACGGTGCTTGCACTATTACACCCAGCGACATCATCGGAAAGAAATGTTTGGATATTGTTTCGTTCATGTACGTACAGGTACATATACGTGAAGAAAAAAGGAACGTGGCGAATAAGCCAGTTGGGAGGGGAACGGCTCGTGTGGTTCCGTGTGCTCATAGTGGCCTGCAGGCCACGCAAGTAATTGATTGCGCTTTGGCATTTACGCGCGTTGGGGTGCTTGTGTGTGTATGTATGCGTAAAAAGATATATCTGTACACTGGGTATTTTGCTGATTGTACAGTGCTGCCCGAGCACCTAGGCATCTAAGCTGCAGGGCCCGCGCGACCACGTACCATAAAACCCTCCGTGCTGAGACTCCGGGCAAGTTGACCCAGGAATCCCAGTCAACGATGCCCAGGGGGGAATTGGCGCAGGGGATGTGCCACCTGTGGATGTGCCAATTTCGTGTGGCACTGCGAGCATGGGCGAGATGGGACCAGGGTGGAAGATCCCGAAGGCGAGGGGCAGTCGGTGTGTACTTTGGCAACCCGCCTGGCTGCGACGTTTGCCGGAGGAGGCCAGACCTAGCTTGTTTCCCTCTGCGTAGGGACTCCATGAGGGCAGGTTACGTGCAAGGGGAGCCTCAAGGAAACGGAGTGCACGTGCGCTTAAAAATCAGGAGTGTGCCGAGTCCAAGCGTGTCAGGCCGATATGTAGCATTTCGCCATCACAGTCAGCATTGTTACCACGAACCTCTGGCCGTGGGACGCCTGAGAGAAGAAATCCGGGCATATAATGGAGGTGTGGGGCTTGACGCCACTATAACAAATGTCGATAGATGACTTGTCTCTCAGCACACATGACAGGTGCACAACGCCGTGTGTTTTTAGCATAGCCCCGGGAAACCCTGCACGCGGCCAGTAACCTCGCCTGACCTGGGCGATGCGGCCTCTATGTGAAGCAAATACAGCAACGTATGACAGCTTCAACAGGCGTCCCCTCGCTCGTTCTCTTCCTCTCCTAACCCTCCTGCTGTACATATCTCCCCGAACACAAGCTGCACATTAACTCTCCGCCGAACGTCTCATCTCGGAGACGCACGTCCTCTCCCTCCATTCACTCACTCTTCACCCCTCTCAGTCTCCCCGTCCCTGTCCCTCTCACTCCCAGGGCGCCCTCTCAGCACTCCAAACTTAGGTAACACACGAACCGTCCTCATCCGTCTCGTCAATGCACACTCCTCACATCTTTCCCACACGCCTTCCGCATCTCCTCCTCTCATCCTCATCACACCTCCGCCCGAGTGGTATCCGCTAGGTACTCCGGGTCCCGCTCACCCCGCGTCTGGGACACCAGAGGCACCGCTGAACGAGCTAGGGAGGGCTGACTTCCTAGCATTTGAGCAGCACGCGTGCGGCCCAGCTCCCTGCCGTCCTCTCCCTCCCCACCCAGCTCGAACAGTCGGGCCACGTTATCCAGCAAGGCCACCGCGTTCGCAGGCAGCAGCAAGTGGGGAAACTCCTCCAGCAGCTCGCGAAACGCTGCCGGGCCACAGCCGCTTAGCAGCGACTTGACCTTGACGATTAATGGACCGCCGTAACGGCCAGGAGCGGGGCAGAGGGGCAGGTTTAGGAGGGCAGGGGCAGGAGCTCAGGTTAAGGCTCTGGTGAGAAGCCCTGGTTGGTGAATCCAATGGGGCGGAACAGCTCCCTTACGTTCAGGCTCCGGCTTGCACCGTCTTGCTTCGTCAGTTATGTTTAGGACGGGTGGATGGAGGGAGGACCACGTTGCATGACGAAAAACGCGCCGGCAAGCAGGCGGGGTGTGTATCCAGCAGCGTCAGTCAGCCACAGGTGTAGGGACGTCGAACGCCGCTTATGAAATGCCAGGTATCACCAGATTTCTTATACGTGTAAGCAGCAGTTTGAATGTGGGGATTACAAAATTGGTTAAAGTTTTCGAATGTTGCATTGTAGCACCAAAAGATGGCGGAAAGCAGCGCACGCGCGGACCAGAGCATGCGGTGGATCACAAGCAGCCCTCCAGGCCCCACCTCTTGCAGATCAGTGGTCAGGCGCTCCGGGTCGGCTAGCAGCAGTTGAGGCCATCCCGAAGCCAGACATGACACGTTGAGGTTGGGAAGCTCGTCCCGCAGGATGAGGAGGTTTTCAGCTGCCGTATGCAGCCGTGCGGCCACACGGACCTGCTCAGGTGTGTGTGTGTGCGGGGTAACGGAGAGCCGAAGGTGATATGAGCACGATGGTGGTGCGGGCTGTGGCTCGGTCGGGAGTGGAATGGGGCTTACGTTCGACTTCCTTTAGATGATTTGGGACTGGGCGAAGGGGATCTGGGGTCCCGAGCGCTGCAGGGCGTTAGAACCAAGAGGCTGATTGTCGCGCTGCGGCGGGGCTGCATGCCCTATCGACCCCAGCACCCCTTGATTAGGCAGGGCGGTGAGGCCAGGTGTACCAGTAACTATCGCTGTCCGTTACCAAGCCATCCATGTCCGTCGCTGGCGCTTGCGGCGACCAAAAGTTTGATACGTTAGTAGCCGAGCTCGTGCAATGTGGGGTTCCCACATAAAGGGTGCCGTTTGGAAGCGAGATAGCTACATGCCCTCTGCACGAAGCCTCACCAGGTCAGCAGGCTTCACTGATGGCCCAGGCTTCAAGTCCGGCAAAAGGGCTTGCAGCTGTAGCAGTCTTTTGCGCAGTTCCTCCTCAGTCACGTTTGGGAATTCGCGGGCAAGGACCTGCAGCAAGGGGCGGGGCTTCAACTTCTTACATACCCCTACCCCGTACCCAACCAACCACGGCTGCTTCGGAGGATGTCCGCTAAGCCACACCAACAGCAGTTGCAAGCCCTTGCATTTACATAGTTGCAGCTTCATTTACGACCTGGATTGCGAAGGCCATTTTCGCATCGTGCGTCCAAGCAGCAGGCTCCTTAACAGTACGCTCGTTGTGTATCAGATTACCAAACTTGTCCATCAACCGCTCTTGTTTTTTTGTATAATACTCCACTGTAGCCCAAGGCAAGTTATTTGAATTGTCGCTGTCCTTCGCAAGCGCAAGGGTTCTGGAACCATTTCTTCCTTGTAACCTAGTCTCTCTACACATGACAGCCTTTGAAGGCTTTGTCCTTGAAAGATGGCTCCACATGCCCCTTTATGTTTTGCTTTAATCCCCCGTCAGGTACCTTTCGTTTAAATTCTCTCAGGAACAAACATCCACTGTTTCATATTACTACCCAGTTATCAAGAGGCATCAATCTCCGGTAAAATTTTGGATAGTTAAACAGTGGCAAACGCGGCAGATCTGTAATAAGTCTGACGCTACCGACTTTATAACTGATTCCGTTGTACCCCGTACCCCGAACCCTCTCTGTTCTTGGAGCTTCATATGAGGAAGGGATCTAAGCCTGATATGCGCCATGTTCGGTACACTCTAAGGTAAGATGACAGGGGAACAGGCGTAGAGCTTGCTGAGAAGCTGGGCGAAAGCCTTTGCACGCATATGCGCGAAAAGATGTGCCCCAACAAGACTGTGACGTCCAGCTGGTGTTCAAGGCACTGCGGCAGCCAAGAATGTCTTTGACCCAAGCAGCACCAGCCTGGACAAGGATATTCGGTTCCATGTATTTGCTATCCGACAGCATCAATCCTGCATCGATGCATAAAACATATGACACCAAGGTGTAAATAAAAGCTCTTAACTGGGCAATTCAAGGTGATAAACGTTACAGATATACGTTAAGCCCCTTCCCTCCTCTTGTATGCGCTCAGTGACTCCTAACCTACGTCATAACAACGCCCAAGGGCCGTCGGCCTCTGCCCCCACCCGATTGCCGTTGTTCATTCATCTGCATCCACCACCCCTCCTCCTCGAGTGATAAGCGGAAAGAGAAAACGAGTTTGTCCTTCGGTCATTCTACTTCTTTCTCATGTAGGAGGTGTGTCAGAGGGAAAAGCCGGCGCTGCTACAGCTACCCCGTGCATATCTCCGCACCTCAACCGCCTCAAGCAACACGCTGCAGTGATTACGAGGACCCGGTTCGACGGTTCGGGAAAAGGGGAATGGCGACTACGCACAGACACACACAGAATTGTGTGTTAACAAGTTGCTACACTCGTGTTGCCCCGCATCCAAAAGTAAGAGTCACACGAGTTCCTCCTCCTCCTCCTCCTATCCCCCAGAACCGGCTCCACGCCACACACGCCAGCAACTCGCATAGCCTTGCGCCTCAACCCGACCGATCGCGGTACCACTACGACCACCACCATTATTATTACAACCACTACCCCTCTTCCACCATCCCAGGGACACATGCGCACGCACATAATGCAGAGCGGTATGCGAGCTACTGCTACCGTACAATAATAACAATGCGAAACCGGCTGTTGTTGATGCTCGAGGACATCATTACCGTGAACGATAAAAGGAAATAGAAAAAGACGACGACGTTCCTGTCTTGTGTGGAAAAGCGTGGCGCACACCAAGGCGGAAGAGGGGGCGGTTCGCGGCTTGACTTGATTGGCTACTTAAGGAGAGCACACACGTACACATCCGCACAGCGGCTCAGTTAATTGAAGCACACGTACACACGAGATGGGCGGTGCGCCCTCGCCGTCATGTAATGTCATGTCATGTGCTGCGGGGCCACCCTGCTGTATGACCCCCACAACTAGGTCGGACGACGGACATCGACACAGACTTCGTGAGATCACTGCCACCCCCGCACCCGCAGTGTGTGCCACACCCCGGAGTCCGACCGACCGGCCCTCGCCACTGTTCCAATATCGCCCCATAGAAAGACACATACAGCCGCCACGCGGCGACGTACATATTGGCTCACATGGTGATGTACATACATCTCGTCAGGGTCCGTCACATCCAACCCAAATGGTCGTCTCCAATCCTGACTACGCCCCTACGTCTTATTATTCAAAGCGGGGCTAAAGCTAAGCACGGCGGCGGCGGCGGTGGTGGTGGCGTGTTCTCTGGACGTTTCCCCCTTCACCACTGCATTACCACATGTCTCTCATCTCCCATTGCCTGCACTGCAAAAGAGATGAGGGTACAACGAGTCCTGGTACTCCGCTCCGGCTTCTGCCTTCTGGTACCTCTGCACTTTTGGATATGCCAAACCCACCCCCATGAAAAGGCCACTTGGCGCTACTCCGTCCTCTCGTCGCAAGGGAGCCGCTTTTTCCTCCGGATTTCATCCGTCCATGGGGGTCAATTTGGGGGCAGTGCAGAAGGTACCACCTAATCAGCCGATTTCAGCTGGCCAACTAAAAGCTATGTCGGCAGTCAAGCCGGCACGCTAGCTGTTTAGGTAGCCCATTAGGAAGCGAGTTAGACATGTAGTCCAGCCAACCATTCCTCAACCAAAAGGCACCAAGGGGGGACGGGGGAGGAGGCGGAGTACACGCGTTGGGAAAAGGTGCGAGCTCGTTTGCGGAGCGGGGTTGATAGTGCCAGAGACGCGTACACGTCATACTTCCTTTTCCATAAACGTCTTCCCCCCGCACACACAAACACACACACGCACGCGCACCATGCAGAGATGAGAAAAATGGCAGTGCGGTCAGCGAAGCATATTCTTTTCACACCGCGCGATTGTGAAGTGCTGCCACTTTACTACTGAGTAGCCCTATTAGACCACACGCACAAGCATACAAGAAAGGTGACAGACAGACCGGTGACGACGGTGATGACGATAATGATCACAAGTCAGAAGCCAGCCGCTCACCGCCCCCCACATCCCGTCACGGGCACCTGCCGTACATCCCCAACCATCTTTCCCCACTTTCCTCCCACCCGACCTCGCTGCTGCTGCTGCCGCCTGCATAACGCATCCTGCAACCTCAGAACACGCGCAACACACACACACACACACCGCCCCTGCTACCAAACCCCTTACAACCCTTACAAGGCATAGATGCAGCATCTACTGCACACGCACTTACGAAACAAAACCTACGCCCTACGCCGGCCCCTTCCACTCCCCTTTCGTAACCCCCTTTCCAACAAGGCGCTCATGTCCGTCGCAGAGTTTTAGGGTTATCAAAGTTCGTCCCATCAGAGGCCCTTCCCCGGCCCGTCGGCTTCTAAAAGGGTTAACGCCGGCTCCTCCTTCACCAGCAGCAGCAGCAGGAGGAGGAGGAGAAGCGCATCATCATCATCGCCATTCTCCTGTCAAGAGGACGTGGCGGCCCTCGGAATAAAGGGCCGTACAATTCCTACTGAAAACATCATCACGAATTTCACCGCCACCGCCGCCATCCCCACCTCCTACACACAACACTGCCTCCTCACCTTAGAAACAGTGAGACTGGCCGCGTTCCAACGTGTGGGTGTGAGCGCGACAGATGCAGGTGATGGTCACATCACCCAGGCATAAAACAGACAGATAGATAGGTAGATAGATGCGCCAATGGTGATGGTAATGGTGATGGTAACCGAGCAGTTCAATAGTAACAGGGGCGCGCGCGCTTGGCGCCCTCCAAATTTGAGAAGGCTACTCTCACCCTGCACTGGGTCACTACGACCACCTCATCTGCCGCTGGTTGCACAACGCCAAGCCAACCCTCCTGCCGCCAGACCTTGTCTGACTACACACCACTGCCTGCCACACAGACAGACACAAGAACGAGGGGAAGAAGGAAGGGGGGAAGGAGTCGCGTGTCGCGCCAGGCGGGTGCGCACCCCTGCAACACACTCAAGGAAATCCACTGCTCGTATCGGGACGCCTCAGGCCCTCGTGCAGTGCTCTGCTGATGTTACCATTCTTTAAGTCCTTTTTCCTCCTCCTGCTGCTGCTGCTGCTTCCGCTGCTGCAACTTTGCCAGACTGCTACTGCTGCAGCGCAAATACACAACAATGGTCTCCCCTGTTGCTGCTGCTCCGAGCTGTGTGTCACAGATCGCACTGCTGGGACATCGAGACGTCGGGCCCCGCGGGCTGCTACCACTCACGAAGTGTCCCACCTCCCTCCCGTCAACCCAGACCAAAATCAGGTCACACAAATTGGCGTAGCGGCACAAGCGACTGGATCCAGAGGACGACTCATCCGGCAAAACCCAACAAGACATGTGAATCCCAGCCAGCCAAAAACAGGTAGTCAAAAAGGGTCCCTCTTTCTAATAGATATGAGCAGCACCGTTCAGCGCTGCTGGTAGGGATTAGTACTACGATTTCCCGGTAGTCATAAGAATTGGGCGAGATGTGGTGGTGGGAGGGTTGGAAGGAGGAAGGAGGCGCTGTGGCGGTGGGAGAAGGCGCTTCGGAGCTCGGCGAGAATGGAAAGCGGCGCAGATGCGGTGCAGGTGGCGAAACACGTTCTACGGTGCGCTCGCCTACGGCGGCGGCGGAGGCGGCCAAGGCCGCGTCGCACGCTCTATGCAAAGTACGCTCCGGGTCCTGGCGTCCCATCCGCCATGCCCTTGCCCCGCTGCAAAACAGAGGAGAGGTGGGGGAAGGGAAAGAGCAGGCCACGTATCGGCAACGTCAGTAACAAAGCACTGTCGACAAACGGAGGGAGGGAAAACAGAAGGAGCGGTACGAAATGCAGTAAGCAGCAGAGCGCTGCCACACCCAACACCAATTCCTTCGCGGCTGCATAGCCCTAAACCTCCTCCTAACTTTCTTATCCATTCACTGCTACTACTGTTACTGCTGCTCTACTGCTTACACATCGCAATCATCCACCCGCTGCTTGCACCTTCCAACTACTTCGACAAACCTGTGTCCATGGATCCCCCTTTCTGTGTTCCCCGTTTCCCGCCCCTCCTTTTCTCCAGATCCCCATGGGCCTGTCCCAGGGGCCTCGCCCTTCGTCTCCCATTATAGACGTCATGAGTTCCTCCACAGCCCGGTAATAGTTGTGATGTCGAGAAAGCCCCATGCATATCTCTCCACTCCTCTCCTTTTCCCTAGGTCGTTCCTCCTGTTTCCCCCTTCTCTCCCTCTTTCTGTCCCGCCTCTGACCTTTTGCGTGCCGAATCCCCAGCTGGGTGCGCTCTGCTTCACAGACAGCCGCTGTGCGCCAATACTGGACACAAACTGAGAGGTGACGGGACCGGGTGAGTTCTCCCCGAAGCCGCTCTTCTCATGCTCCTTAGAGATGAAGATCTGCAGCAAAGGGTGGAAAGGGAAGGGAAGGGAAGAAGTAGTTGTGGCGGCGTGTTATGCATATCGGTAGCATCACGTCCGTGCATTGGTATACAAGCCAATATTAGATATCTCCACCATATCGCTCCTAGAGGAGCTT